AACAACAAGAAAAAAAAAATAACACTCTAACTTTAATTTTTCTTACTAATACGAACGTCGTCCTTGGACTGGTTTCATCCTTATTAGGACTCATCAGCACGCATTCTATCGCTGCTGTTTTTCTTTGGATACAATGCAATTCCTGTTGCGGTTTTAGCAAAAGGGGTAGTTGTTTTCTGAAGGGAAATGCTCGCTCGTATTATTTTGGAAAATTTCTTGTATTCATTTATTTTTCGTCTTGGTTACATGGATATATTTTCCTTTTTTGAAAAGGATTATTTATAAAGAGTGCACACTTTCATATTAATATAGAAAATAAATGTATTATTGATTTTAATGAAGATAGTGTAGAGGATTTGCAAGAAGTAGTTTTAGAAGAACTAGGTCACAAGAAAATTATTATTTATTTGTTATATGAAGGAAGATTGTGCATTAGCTCGAACCTAGTCAAACTAATTAATAAAAATAATAAAAAAAATTGTAATATCTTCAGTCGGCTGTTCCTCAACTTATCTCTAAAAGTAACGCTTAGCTCTATTGTTCCTTTTTCAAATTGCTCCTATGTTTCTACTGTATTATTATAAAGAATCGTTTATTCGTTTGTTAATTGTTTTTATTTTGAACTTTGAATATCACATTTTATTAATATTCATATTAAACACATGCGTCTATTGTCAATGTTAATGTTTGATTATATCAATGACTGTTTTTACATTAGCAAAATTAAACCAATGGTTTTACAATATAGAATCGACCAATTAATCACGAATTACAAATAACAGTAAAACATTGATATATTATTTATTAGTTACTAATAATTGTGTTAATGCTACAGTTCATCATATTCCCAAAATTAGTGACCATTCTATAATATCTGTTAGTCTTAGTATAATAACAACAAAGATATAAATATAACTACTAAAATGTACAGAAACTTTAGTGAAACTAACTTAGATAAAATTAAACTCGACTTAAAATCATGTAATTGGAACTTAAATTCTATTTTTTTTTAAATAAATGCCCCAACTATAGAAGCATTTTCAACTATTATAATCTAATCATTAAGATCAATTAGCAATTTTATTCTAACTTAACTTATCTTCATAAACTAAGATTCTTCTCACTAGTGTACCTTAGAGTCTAATTATTTAGTTACACTGCCGTTAACGTATAACACTACATCGGACTATACTCTGCTTTTATCTAACATCACTTAACTCAAAAGGCTAGATTCTCTTGAGTCTTCTTATTAGATTGACATTGCATTGCTGGATAATCTCAAGGTTTCCATGTTAGAGCAGTCGTTATTGATGACTACTGGCAAATTTTGGTATTGTATTTTTAACAGTCTCCACTTTAAGGTCCCTATTAAGTATCAGGGTGCATCGACGATGTTCTTTAATAGTTTATTATGGAAACTTTGAATAACTTGGATGTTACTTTTACTGACACAGCCCCAAAGCTGGATACGATACGTCCATACGGATTTCAATATCTGCCTGTAAAAAAGCAGTATGTTGAGTATGGATAATTTAAAATTTTTTTCCTAGCAACCAATACATTCTTTTGTATATTATACCAAGCTCTTCGCGTTTCTTTTTTCCAGCTAAGTCTATCATCAATTGTCATATCCAGATATTTTGCTGTATTAGCAAAAGGGACCGGAGTGTCGTTTATTCTAATAGAAATACATTCATTTTGTTTATTGATGAAGTTGACATAAACAGATTTGCCTTCATTCAATTTTATTCGCCATCTTTTCGTCCAGGTTAATCTGGTCTATAGATTTTTGTAATTTTCTATTAGCGTCTTCGTGATTTTTCCAATAACAAGGACTGCGGTGTCATTAGCAAATGTTGCGATAGTATACTCACTGGTGATCTAGACCGACAACAACCAAAGGTAAACAACTATTATCATCATGCCCAAGATCACGAATATCTCTGGTATACAACAAGTAGAGTACTGAACCTAGTACACTACCTTGAGGTATTCCTGCTTTAATTTCTCTTAGGTCGGAATAGTATTCTTCCTCTTTAATTCTGAAACATCTTTCTGATAAATAGGATTTTAATAGCTGAGAATATTGACGTGACTTGAATATGTTCATTTTTTGTCGATGCTATACTTTGTCAAAAGCCTGAGCCACATCCAAAAAGACGGTGTAGCAAACTTTTTTTTCTAGGGACTTTCCAATGATATCTGTGATTCTATGAACTTGATCCCTCTGGTCGAGTGTTTTTCACTGAAGCCAAACTGATGGGAGGATATTAGGTCCTTTTCTTAAATAATTATAGGTTTCAATCTCTTAAGAAGCAATTTTTCATAAAGTTTCGAGATAACAGGTAACAAGAAGATGGGTCTGTACGAGGTAACTTCATTGGGAAGTTTACCTGGCTTAGGTATCATTATAACTTCTGCCACCTTCTACATCTTTAGTTAAAAGGACGTATTGGGACGAGATTGGTAATTTTGACAATAGCTTTCCGTGGAAGCATTTTAAAAATTTTTCCAGTAAATAGGTCAGATCCAGGGGCTTTTTTTGGATTTATATTTGTTTGGATTTCCACGTAAATTTATTTTGGAGAGGTAGGTTTAACGAGTGTGTCTTGTTGTACTCTCTAAATATTCCGCAAATCTGTTTGCTTTTTGCAACAAGCTTCCATCTCCATTTCTTATAATTTTTCATTTTTCTGAGATAAGATTTTTTATCTCTTCTGGATATTTATTACCTTGCACTCTGCCTTTAATCTCAGGAGTATTTTCCAACGCTGTTGTTGAATATTTTTGACAAAAAGTCTTGCATTATTGTTCCTCAGTTCTTAATGGAATCGAGATATCAATTAGTTCTTCCAGGTTGCCTTTATTGACTAGTTTAGGTAAATTTTCTTTTTTGATTACAATATCATTTAATGTGAGAAATATGGGAGAATGATTCTTCTATATGCATATAATTTAAGGTGATATTCTTGATTATAAAAAATCTATGAGATCAAAAAATGTTGCCAGTGTGTAGGCTTTTCACTTGACATTGTTTGACATTTGTTTTGATGGCATGATGATAATAGTTCTTTACCTTTGGTTGTTGTCAGTCTAGATCACCAGTGAGTATGTAGCCTGTATTTTTATTGTGTGGTAACCAATTTCTTGATAGTGTAAAATGGATTTCTTAATTTTCTGCTCTTCCGCCTTTTGCCGCAATATCTGGTTGGATTGTATGATACACTTTATATTCCTTAAATTTGATGAATGGCTCTTTTGTGAAATGTGTCTCAGCAATCACAGATATCGATTTTTTCTAATTCTTGAACTGTTTGCAGCTCTTGTTTATGCTGTAGCAGTCCATTTGCGTTCCATCTAAAAAATCTAAGATGATCGGCCATTTTTAGCTTTAGGGATCGCTCCTTGAGCACGATGTTCCAAATTTGAAATACGCTTATTCATTTTGTCCAGTCTATCCAAAATTCTTTGGAGCATTAAATCAATATTTTTTGTGTTTTGTTGAACTGGCTTTTGAATATATGTTTTTTTTTCTCATGGATTCTACAGCTACTTGGCTATATGTTTTGGTTTCATTATCTATTTAAGTTGTTTTTTTTTTGTATTTCTTTCCTATTGATATTTGATGTCTCATTTTTATTATTAATATATTGCATGTTTTAGTTTTTTGTTGGTAATTTTCTTGGACCTTTAGACTGATTTGTGGGGGGAGAAAACAATGTATCCATTCGTCTTTTCTAACGTTTCCTTACTCTAATCCACTCAATCTCTGCGCCGATGAAGTATCCGACTGGCGTATGTTCAATCTGTTTTGTTGATGAACCTAAACTATAAACAATCATTGTTTTTATTGTTTGTCGCGATTCGCGATACACAATACACGTGAAATTGGCCTACTTACGGAGCTCGGCTATTTAACACAACTTACCAAAAGGTAATAAAAAATGTGGCGCCTAAACAAGTTTGTCAGTATAAAAATAATGTTACATGGTTTAATAATGACATTAATTATAAAATAAAGGATAGGGATAAAATATATAAAGAATTTCAGATCACTCCTGGTTCTGATAAAAATGCATTTAAAAAATTTGGAGAAGGAGGTTGTAAATGTACTAAAAATGAACAAAGGATAATATTATTTTAATAAAATTAATAGATTTTAAGGTGAAGGGGGAGAAAAAGTCCTTTATATCTCACAAGGAAAGTCAACTCACACATGGCTACCCCCCTTGTCAAAATTAATAGATATAAAAATAATTCTTGACTAATGTGGAAGCTCTTAAAAATTTAATTTAAACAATGAACGCCTAATTAAATATAATGTTACTAAAATTGCAAGTAAATTTAATACTTTTTTTATGAATAGCATTTTACTCAAAGAGTTGATAGCATCTCGACTGAAATAACAGGAAATTTCTGTAACTATAATGTATATCCTCAATTTTCAAATTTTTAGTTGTTATCATTGAGTGAATTGAGAGTGACAAGTTGTTGGACAATAAATATGTAGTACGTTGAAGAAGTATTTAAAACAAATGGTCCTATACCGTAAATCTAATTAATACTTCTCTTTAAACTGCAACATTAAAAGTTCTAAGTACAATAGTTCGTAAGTATTAGTATTAGGTACTTGAATGTTATTTTTGAAGAAATTTTCTTTGACTATGCTATTTCATTAATATTTTGATATGCATTGAAGGATTTTTTTTTTATTTTTGTCTTTAAATATTAAAAAATAATAAAAATATACAATAAATATACTCAAACTTTTGATTGCTTCTCTACTAATATTAAAGCTGAACTCTCATAAGCTGTCACACTATATAGATTTCGTTAACTATACAACGGTTTATTAATATTAGTTGTTAACATCCTTTCGATTATCTATACCTATAGTTTATCTAGTCTTTGGAAGGTATGTAAAAAAACTATTATATTTCTTATACCTATTTACTATAAATAATAGAAAATAATTACAAGCTCAAACTACATATACTTACATTTGCCTTTGTAATAAATTTTGCCATACAGCTTTTAATTCAGGGGTAGGAGCCCTTAAAATCACAGTTTTTTTGCTAGCGTTCTTCTTTGGTGTCCTTGACAAATCAGGACCACAATGAACTGTAGGACTAGTCGCGTTTCTACCATCTGGATTTAAGTTTATCCTAAATTCAGTATCTGGATAAAATAAAAATAGGTATTGAGTTTATTATTATTTTATTCTTTTATTACTAATTCTAGTGAATCACCATAGTGTTTTTTTTTAAATTTATAGATAATGTGTAAGCAGCCTAGACCAGCTCTGAACTTGAACAGTCGGGTTTTAAGAATTAATAATTATCTACACCTGACAAACTACTGGACGTATTTTGTTAAATATTGTTAAATATTGTTAAGAATAGTAAACAGGTTATGATCTCTCCATCTGATATATTTTAAATGTTCACATCTATTTTTATTCCGAATTCTGTTCCAAACATGATTCTATCTTCGGTCGATAATATTTGTACAGGCTCCTAGCAATTATTTAGAGCAGTATCGAATGGAATGCCTGGCGTATTCTTTCTTGGTAATCTTTAGTGAATAAAGGAGTTCGATAGACCTTTCCTTTAATGTAGCCCCATATAAAAAATCGAGAGATGTGAGATCAGGAGATCTTGGTGTCCATAAAGAAGAACATAGATTGGCTAATCATCGATTTGAAAAATTATCTTATACGGATACAAAATTATTGATTTAAAATTGACGGATGGAGTTTGTCTGGCTATCTTACAGTAAACGTAGGTATCACAAGTTCTTTACGTAACTTTATTAAATTCACAATAAATTATTATTAAATTTAGGAAATCTTCATTGAAGTACTTACATGCAATTTTAAAGTTAAAATAGCCATTTACAACACATCGAATTTGTTACCTTTTACGTTTTTAAATAAATTTTAAATTTATCCTAAAAATTTTTAAGTTATTTTAATATTCGCTTTATATCTAAAATGAAGCTATTTTTTATCCTTTAAACCATGATAGAATATCGTTGCTGAGTATGCTGGACAGTCAATTAGTGTAGGTTTAACAGGGAGGACAGCATCGCAGTGCTAACATACTGGAGGATCTTCCTGGGTAGTGATAGTATGTCCTACTCGTAATCTTTGGATAGTAGTTTTCTTTTTTCAAGACATTGAAGGGACACAAATCAAGTCTATAGAGGTTTGAATCACCTTTAGCTTAGAGTTGCTTCCTTTCAATAATTTTCTCATGTGTGGCTTATAGAACGTCTGAAGCATGCTTTTAGATCGTTATTGATTTGGATTTTTCAGCAGTGAAACCAAGGTTCGAATACTTCTTTTGCCAATCTACCTGATCTCTCATTTTTCTGGATACCTATATGAAAGGTAAACTAAATAAGGGATACGGACTTGCCTCCAGAAGAGAGTTGATTGAAGGTTTCGTGAGCCGATTGGACTAAGATATGCTGGGTTTTAGACAATTAATATAGTATATAGATATAGATGCAAGTGAGTCAGTATATGCGCATTTTGTCAACAAGTTTACTGCACAACGAAACTTGCACACGTTCGTTTTACAATAACATAATTATATTTAAAAGTTAAAATAAACTGAATTATTAAAAAATATCCCAATAAAAATGTGTTAGTAGCATACCAAAAGTAATTTTGTATTTACCTATTATAAAAATTGAAAAAAATATAATTTTTTTTAATTATTTGTACAATGTAAATCTGGCTTAAGACAACAAAACCCAAACCTCGTTTCCGCTCGATTCGTCTCGATAGCCGAAACTCGAACGATTCAATTACAATACAATAACAAACAATATGGCTGACGATGTAAACATATAATAAGTGAGTTTTACTTTTATTTAATTTAGTTTTAGGTTTAAATTTAGTAACAATTTACTGTAAGTAAACTTATTTTGATACTTTAACATATCTAAGCATTATGAGTGCAAATATTTGATCATAATAGTAAATATGTTCTGACCCATTTACACTGTGTTAGAACAAACATTTTTATTTTCTTGTCAACCCAAAAATTATTGTGTTCATAATTGTGATTCCACTTATTTTTGGCCGTAGAATACGTTTTTTTCTCACCCTGTATAATAAAAGATCTTTTCATGTCGTGTAATAGTTAATTACTACCTTTATTATAAACTTGTATAGGAAAAGACTAATTGGGATAACTTTAAATATAATATTTATTTTTCTCAAAATTATATTTTTAACCAACTTGACATATCGATCAAAAATATGAAACACGCAATAACCTTCTTAATTATAATTCAATTAAAAAACTTTTTAACTTACTTCAGTCAAAAATTAATATTTTACCAGCCATGGTATTTTTTATATAAAATGATTTTGTTATTTAGAAATTACCAATTTTAGCAGTACACTTTATTGTGCAAGGTCATGTTCTATCGGAATCCGAAATAAAAATAGGCTGTCCCATTTAAAATAACGAAGTTTACATCTACTTCCGATATAAGCGGAAATTACAGGAATGTCAAAAGGTTTAGATGGATGGAAAGATCGTAACACGTTTATTATTTTTACTATTTTTTTTTTTTTGTTTTTATTGGTATGTCAGACAGTGGCTCCCCTGTATAAAATTTAATTTTTCCTATGTCGGCAGGACTATTAGCATCTCTGTATATTATTAAATTTCAAAATATATTTTAATTTCAAAAAATGCAGTTAAATATCGGTTATTTTATTTAATACGAAATACGAGTATGTTCCTATACAAAAATAAAACAAGAATCTTCAACAAAAAAAAAACTATATAAGTTTCAGTCATATTATACTATACCTTTTTTCCTAACGTTAAAAAACATATCAGATATATGAGCCAAGGGTATAGGGTCTTCCATAACAAACAAAACACGATCTCTAGACGCTTTGGCAAATAACAACATATCACTAAACAACAAAGTCCAATATTGGCGAACGTTTCGACCCTCGATTCGAGCTAGGTCACCGCCGAAGATCCATTGTCTTCCGGGTTTGTTTAATACGAAGGGCTGAAAAAAAACTGTATATTATAAAAATTGTCACAGACGTAGACACATTTACATGGGCCTAGTACGATCAATCAAGGATTACTTGTAAATTGAATTAAATCATATAATTTTCGTTTGAATGCATTTATTTATAATTGGAGTGTGTGCACATAGCTTTTCAAAAACGAGAAACTTAAAAAAAAATTGAACAAAACTTGACAAGCCAAAAAGGTTTGTTAAAGTCAAACCTACAAAGTACATATTGTCAGTGTTCACCTATTACCATGGAGGTATAATACTAATGGAGATGCCAGGAGGCAATTGTCTTATTAAAAATGACCCCACTGGGCGTGGCTTAAATGGTTGACTAAGCAGGGTCGTATTCAAATATAATTAAAGTCCGTATGCAGAATTACAACTTTTAAATGACTTACTTACCTAAGATTTGTTTCAACATGATCGATTCGAAATTAATTTGATGACATTGCGCAATTATGACTTCTACACTATTTACTATTATTTATTAACCATTTTCCGAACAAGCCAATGCCAAGACCATAAAAGAGATTAATATTATTATATTGTTCTGTCTTCGCCGAAACCGTCCGATATATGAACTGTGTGATCGAAAATCAACGTTCGAATAACACTGTGCATCAGATTTGTTAATCTCTTTGTGCTTTAAAACTAAAACCCGAACCACGATTTTTCGTTCAAGGACTCTCTTGTCTTGATCAAAGCTGCCAATGTCAAAATCTGACAATGAGGAGAATTATGACATCAAATTACCAAACCAAAAACCAAACCACTACGTGAATTGTGAATAAATATATTTCAGTAAAAATACAGCCGAGTTTGTAGAAAGGACAATTAATTACTTTTAAATGTAAAACATGTAGGTCTTTTTGCTGCAGATGACATACATTAAAAATATGACCCGCTACAGTCAAAAGTTTAAAAAGACCAAAAATTCAGCTAGGTATCACTTTATGGTTAAAAGTAGATGGAAGAAAACCATGATCAAAACTACTCTGTCAAAACCAATCGGAACTAAAAAAACTTGGTTTTATTTATGTTTGAAATAATTAATTATATAGGGTAGGTACATATATTACTAAAATTGCAAGCAAGTACTTACTAAAGATTTCTATAATTGGTACCTATGTATAATAAACAACAATATCACAGATGCACAGCATACAACTATACAAATGGAATTATAGAGATAATTTATTTTAAAAATAGGCATTCAGTTGCGATTTGTGATTACAAAAAGAAAACTTTAACCACTTTTTCTGATCAGTAATGTTAGTGTTATAGTAAAAAAGTTTCTAGAAACTGGTGTTTTTAATCCTAATAAAGCATTGTGAATTCACAAGAAAAGTGCATGATGAAAATTGTTTTGACCAAAATTTTGAATGTCATGCCATTTAAAAAGAAACCAAGTGGCTGTGGATAACAATTGACACAAAATCTTATCCTAAAAATAACTGTTTGGTTGCATTGGAGGAATAATTTCTTCAATGGACCCTTTTAAGGATGACTTGACATTACTAAATTTAAACCTTTGTTATAAGTTGTCTTTTTGCTTTAATTTCTGATACACCTATATTGTACATACTTGAAAAATATAAAATTGTTCAAGTGGGAAGTTTATATACAAGGTGTCTCATTGAGAAAGGGATACAGAACAACTGAAGAGTCTGATTAAAAATAAGACTATGCTTAGAATGCGAATATTCTTCATTTTAATTTTGAAGTGTCTTATAAATTATATTTATTGTGTATTGTGAACAAAGTCGGCAGGTTTTTAAATTAAGGAACATCAATTTAATGTTTGTTCATTTAATATTAATAATAATTGTAATGTGGTACATGAGCGGGCATATTATTTTATATCATGAGGATGAGGAGGTACATAGCAGTGAGTGATGGCCACAAATCTAATTAAATAACAAAAATACATCACCATATTTATTATTATACAGTATATTCATTATCAAAACGGTATAACAATAGGAAATTAGGATCTAATAAAAACTGCTTTTAAATACTTGAAATTTTATTCTAAATTATGTGTTACTTAAAAAGTTAGTCATTTAAGTGTAATTATAAGTTGGTTTTTAAGTTTAATTATAGTTGGTTTTTAAGTTTAATTATAAAGTTAGTTATTTAAGTTTTATTATAGTTATCTAAGTTTTAATGTAGTTATTTGTCTTTATTATAAAGTTAGTCAAGACAATGCTCTTTATTAAGTTAGTTATTTAAATTTTATTGTAAATAAAGTGTATACTAACTAAACATTCATTTATTGTCGGAACAGCATTCTTCTTCAATCTGACCCTAACTCACTCTTATCAAAAAATTCTTCCTTGAAGTGAATAGAGCACAACATGCTATTCGGTTTAGGCTCAAATTGGTCTTTTCCCTCAAATTTAGACCAAATTTTGAGATATAGTGGGTCTTTTGGAAACCAATAATAAAAAAAAGTTAAGCATTCTAAAAAAAATTCTAAGTACACTCCTTATACTTACTTATGAAAACTTAAATTATATATTTTCTTAGGCTCTTTCACTGAAGAGTTTTTACAATTAATTTTGGCACACTTAGTCATGATTTTTATACAAATTAATAAAAAAAAAACACTTATTAAGATAGAAATAACGTCGAAATATTTAAATTTGAACAAAGTTCTGACAGCTCTTTGACAACTATGACATGACCACTAAGAGAGGGGGAAGGGGTGTCGTTTTTTTTGGCATGTCATCTCCATAGTATTTAACCTCATTGCCTATTACAGAACACAAAAATAAAAAAAATTGTGTAGCCAGAACATAATCCAGTCATCATAGCGGCTAGCGTAAAGGGGTAATTTTATTGTATTGACAGCATCCCCATAGCGGTCTCTACACTTTCTCAGAGCTATGATACAAACCCAAAACATTTAAACTCCAACTATGATTTTTCTCGATGGTTGGTTAAAATTAAAAATTAATAAATTACTTACTTTGCATTTTGTAAAAACTAGCCTATTTTCTAAATCTTGTACTGTTAATAAAGGTCTACCCTCTCCTAAAGGTTCCATCAGTCCGCCTTCGGAAGTAATTTCTCTATAAGTTAACTAAAAAGAAACATACAGGGTAAGTAAAAAAAATTATTTTGAAAGATCAAAAACAATACACGTGCTATTTTTTATAGGGGAAATATGTAGAAACTATGGTAATAAGAATTAAAAAAAAAACACTCAATAATAATGTGTCGGGTAGAGAAGGTTAAAATACAACAATGAATTAAAGTTGTAATAATGTGATTGGTAAGATTAAAGGAATTGTTTTCCCTTAATGAGTTGAATAACGTTGTGATGGATATAGGGATATTTATAATTATATAGATATATAATAAAAGTGGTTGTAAGTTAGACATTGTGAACCTGAAAGGTTCCAGGCAGTAGCGGCTCGTTATCAAAATATTGCGGGTTTACAATAACAGAATGTAGATCTCAGTTCAGATTTTGGTAAAAATCTTTCAGTGTTTATAATATACCTTTCTGAAACACATTTTTTACCTAAATCTATACTGAGATCTATATTATGGGATCCGAAAAATTGATCGCCCGCAATTGACCGCCAGCACATTTACCGCCAGATAATATATGTAATCATTTATATACATTTATTGGTCATTTTAAATTGAAAATATGGTTTTTTTGAAGGTGTTGTTTAAAAATTAAGTAGTTATAGCTAAAAATGGAAGCTACTTATATGCTAAGTGTCTTGGATGGGTCAAATAAAATTAAATTCAACTGCCATAATATGGTGAAAAAATCACACGCAGGAAATTCCGTTTGTGCAAGATTCAAATAACAAAACAATCATGACGGTTTTATTGTTTTTAATTTAATTTACTCTTTTATAAAAACCACATAAAAGGCTATTTTGAAAAAAAATATGAAAATAAGTTAAAAATAATATAAATGAGGACGTCTTAGGAAAAAAATTGAAAAATGGGGGAAAAGGAAAAAAAGCTGAAAACGCAACTTCCGAAAGATACACTTTACATGTTAGGTATACATTTTTTGAATCGAATAATAGAGAAAAATACAAAAGAAGATAATATACAGGGTATTCCATTGTAAAAAACACGGGGTGTCTATGGGGGGACAGAGTAGAAGTTACAACGAGTATGATTTTTGACTTATTTTCTCATAAAAGTCTTAATTTAAAAAAAAAATATCTAGCGTTTTCCTTGAAATTTCCTGTAAAAAAACTTAAATTTGAGATCCTGCTTTTTAATGATTTTTTCTGCACCCACATAGAGATTGGCTTATCTACGCACAGACTACGAAATAAAAAATATATATTTCATATCCATTTTAGGCAGTTAGAAATCTGCAAAAAATTTAAATCCACCAATCGCAGTTCATATTTTGGACACCCAACTACTACTATTTTTAAAATTTTAAGTAAGTGACAATTCTGTCAAACTAATTGTCAGTATGTTTTTTAGTTATTAAGATTAAATATAGATTGAAATAAGTTATTTTTGTGTAAAATCGATAATTAATATTATTTTTATTTGGTCAACATTTTGAAATAAATCTTAAATTTTAATCAAATTATATGAAACTAATTTAAAAACGAGTAATAAAACTAAAATCATAAATGAGGAGGTGGAGATGAGGATACGGCATCTGTATTCCACGTGAGAGGCTCGGGTTCGAATCTGGGCAGGGAGACTAATTAAATTAAATTTTCTTTTTTCAGATTTATTTTATTTTATAAATTACTAAAAGTTTCAATCTTGTTTCTATTCTTCTTTAGTTTAGACTAAGACGAAACCATAACGTAAAATGTTAAAAAATGATATAGGTGATTCTCGTGTAACTATTATTTTTACAACTTAAATTTTTTTAAATTAAAAATGTTTTAAAACATTTGTTTTACGCGTTTTTTGTTTACTATTTATGCACAGAAATAAGCCTGTAAAGTGGTTCTACTACAGCTACAACATAACGAAAACTGTGACAAAATTTTAAAATGTTAATGCCAGGGTACTGACATTATTTCCACGCTACTGACTTATAAATGATTATTTTTTTTACCCATCGGAAGATTGGTATAAAATTGCAATAAAATTCAGTGCAGTATACATTAGATTGTAGTTAAGAGGTACATTTTATATAAAAAATGAATTTTGATAGAAATTTATATATTTCATTTCAAAAATGAGAATCAGACATGCCACGGTACTGACATTTCGAGTATATTTATGTGCAGCTTAAAAAAAATTTACGAAGGTTTATGATCTAATTCATAATGTCGGTTGTAAAATACCTCTAAATTTATAATATTAATAACTTTTTGATGAGGAAAACTTATGCTAAACGATAAATAAAATACTGGACATAAAAAATCACAGTTATCCAAGAATCACCCATATATTAATAAATTTCATTTGTTTGTTAAACACATAAATCATAATTTTATTTGTTAGAAAACTTATAATTATTCATTTTCGTCAAATTAATGCATTCAAACGAGCATTAGCTCATGTACGAGTTCAGTTTAAGGGCGCTATTCTAGGAATATCAACAATTTTAGGTAGACAATATTTACGAATTACACTTATTTTCTTACGGTAACTAATCATCAATATATTTAAAACCATATAATTACAAATCTTAATGATGTCAAATAATCCATTTTTTTTGAAGCACAAAATTTCCAATGGCAAAACTTTAAATAACCTAAGACATTAAAGTATTATACATGTTGCAACTGCAGTATCTAAATAACTTTAAACATATGTTTTATAAAATAATTTCGAGCAATATAGCAAATTCACAATTAGCACATTAGCAGATACACCTACCTGAAAAGATAAATACAAAAAAATAATAAATTAAAAAACTATTAATTCATTTTAAAATGACCAATATATTTGCTGGCGATAAAAAATGCTTGCGATAAATTGCTTATACGATCAATTGCAGTTAAATTTAATTTTATTTAGACCCATCCAAGACACTTAGTATATAAGTAACTTCAATATTGAGTGCCGATACTTAAGGGTGTGAATCCTTTGGGTGTTAAAGTTTTAAGAACAAAAAAATAACTATTTTATCATAAGTTTCTTATCACTCCAGATATTTTTATGAAATTTTTCCCAAAAAAAGTGTTTCCACTCATGGTGGGTTCCTACCAAATTTCAACAAAATATCAAAAGCAGTTTCAATATACTGGTTTTCATTATCTTACCCGAAAAGGGTGCTTCGTGAGAAAGTACGTCATAAAACAAATTTGTTCCAAAATATATAAGAATTTTAAAGATAATTTTGGTTTTTAGAAAAAGCAGTGGCGCACCATATTTTTTTTCAAAAATATTCAGTTCAAACCCGGCACGGACGTCACTGGTAAAAATTTAAAAGTCTTTTACGACAAAAGGCGAGATTGAAAGTGAAAGTTTAGTCTGTTGGTACATAATATACTATATTTATATATCTAATTTTTATTATTACACTGAATGTGACATGGCTTTTTTTGCCTTTTTTGGATCAACAAAATATTATTTTAATGATTTAAAATAAACTGCCAGTAATAATAATAATTATCTGTACTTAAACATATGCAAAAAGAAATCATAAAACGACGCATCAAGAAAGCACCAAATTATTAAACTTTTAATTTACGTAAGATGTGTCGAAAGTAATTTTAAAAAACCGACTTTAAAATCGTGCAGATGCCATCACCACATCTGAACCAAATTTATATGGGACCACCCCTTAGGTACCCACTTACTAACGAAAAGAATTATAGAAATCGGACGAGGTGGTAAAGAATTATCGCTAAACATATATAAAAAATGAAAAGTTTGAGGATTTTCCCATTGAACCAATTATTATATTTTGACCAAATTTATATGGGACCATCCCGGAAGTACCCCCTTTCCAGCAAAAAAGAATCATTTAAATCGGACATTGTGTTAAAGAATTATCGCTGAACATACATAAAAAAAATATACAGACGAATTGAGAACCTCCTCCTTTTTGAAGTAGGTTAAAAAGGATATAATAATCTATATTATTTGTAATAACTAAAAAACTACTATGTGGAGTTATATACATCTTAAATTAATCTTATATGTAAAAATGTGGGTTCGGTTCCTAGAAGAGTACGTAGTTCATTGTGCAGCCAAATTTATATTTATGGTTTATGGTACAGAATTTTTTGAATAAATAAAGTTTTAGGTTTAATTAAACACTAAGTTTTATCAGGAATAATATTTTCTGAAAAAAGTAACATAAAAGCAGACTTTTTGCGAGCCACTATATATATTTTAGAGGACAATCCATATTATTTTAGAAAAATAAATTAAAGTTTTGTATAATCACATAAATGTGATTTATCTTTTAGAATATTGTATATGTTTGTTAAAGTTTACTAATTTAAAAAAAAAAGAAATATTCTTCAAAAATTTTCTTAAATTTTTTAACACGGTACAAAATACCTTAATCCGTTTATAGTTATCGAAATATGTAAAGAATTTTAACTCGTTTAAAAAGCGTTCTTTCTCTTTCAATTTCCTATAAAAACTAATAGACCTTTTTGAAATCGGTATTCGGTGACTTTTCTTCTGTTTTATTGCCTTGAAAATGATATGATTTACATAAAAAACAAAAACTGACTTATTATTTTTGTGAAATAAAAATATGTTGTTATTTTCACAATTTTTGACTACTTTTCGTTTCTAAAAAAGAAGTACGATGTTCTTCTCTAGATATTAACACATTGTTTAATTGGCTTTTTATTTTTTTTAAATATTCTTTAGTATTTTCATAATTTGGGAAACAGTATAGCATTGAAATTGTGAGTACGCTTTTAATTAATTGTCTGTTTTTTTATCTCACAATGTGTCGATAAGAAGTTATATAGAAAAAGTTAGTATTCAATATCATCCAGACAAAAAACAAAAACATGTTTAAATGAATATATTAAATAAATTATGAGTATTCTTTAACAGAGATATATTTATTTGTATTATGGAAATAATGTTTATGTCAACAAACTTATGTTCGATATTTGTATCAATTTGTAAAAATAACTCTTGTATAATGATAATATTAAATTTAAAGGTTTTAAATAAGGACTTGCAGATATCACAATTCAAAATTCTTTTTATTAACCATAATACTTTTTTTGGAATGAAAGCATTAGTTTCTGTTTTTCAGTTAAGCTCCATAAATTTATATTTTAATCTGAACGCTACTTAAGCGCAGTAAAGTTGCAACAACTAAACAATATAGTGAACTTTTCGAAAATTTCTAAGTTAAAATTAAAATCAATTTATATTTAAAATTAAATAAGTTAACTAACATTTTTGACCGTTATAAAGTTAATAAAGTTATAAATAACGTCGTTACAAAGATTTATGTTTGAATTTTAAATTTCTATTGACGATAGTTACTCATCTACGTATTACAATAACAATACCTACATGACTTGGCTTTGACAAAAAACCCTGTATACTAAAACTTCTAATCCGAATCAAAATCTTGAAACTATTATTTGGGGACTTAAAAGCGTGGTCCACTAGTTGGTGTAGCCTTTTAAAACATTTGGTGTAGTAATAATTATATACCTATCATCAATTACCACTGCCACTGGTAAAATCCTAAATTTAAAATAGTGTAATATAATAATACGACATTAATCATATCTTAAATGGATCGCCTACTACCATGTTTTAGAAATAAATAAAATTTAATTCTTAAATTAATAAAAATATTCAAAATAATTTAAGATTGATTCCTTGCGTTATGTTAACAAACATTCAACAAAATTTCTCACGAATTATTTAATATTCTGTCTCGTACTTCCATGTCTCTATTGCTTCGCTGTCAACAAGTTCCGGCAAGACATATTGCATATAAAAAATTTTAATTTTATTTTGTATCTTTTTTTCTCAAAAGCTGTCAATATGAGATATTTTCTCCACTTCTATTCCTCCAGAAGTCCAAAAGCACAAAATGCAAAAATCCATTTGTGTTATGTGCAGCTAGCCCTGAATTTGAAAATACCAATAGTGGTTCTCCTTAATGGAATTGTTCTTTTTCCAAAAAGTTATTTCTCTATTGCATATTTCTTCTGCTACAGTCCGCACTTCAGCTCCATATGGACATTTTAACTCTATCATAGAGTTTTGTTTTTTTTTTAATTCCATCCAGACTGACAGCAACATAATCAAATTCGAATTCAATAAAATGTCCACATTTAAAAACTTTTACTTGCAAATAAATTTCCAAATCTTATTTTGTTTTGAATTTATGGTCCATGCCATATCGGGTGGCTTTAGAAATAAATGATTTTACGAGATTTTTTACTTTCTCCAAATTTTTAAGCAGTGACTCGTTTCCGTCTTCTATTGTGCCACAATGCAATAAATCGTTTTTCTTATTTATAGACATTGGCTAACTTTTTAGAAAATGTTCTCTTGCAACGCGCCTCAAAGGGTGCGACAAATCAAAGCCATGCGCGAAAGCAAGAAAAAATATTTACATTACTTTAACGGATTGAAGAGATATTAACATGCTGGAATTAATAAATATTGCTGACTCGAAGAAGTATTCATTAAACAAAAACATATAATTTACATCTCAGTGTATACCTTCCAATTTCATATATATGTATTTTTTTTAATAAATAAATGATAAAATTAATTTAATATAATTGAGCGAAATTACTGTATGTAAAAAATAAACAACATGAATTCAAATCACTCACTAAATAGTAGAAAAAGATATATATTTTGTTGGTAACACCTTCTAGATGAAAAAGCTTTTAACGTATTTCTATTTTTCTTGTAATAAAAATAAATGCTGCTGTAGGAAAAAATTAAATATATTGTTCTCTTCTATCATTTTTTAACATTTCTATTTCTTTTCGTTTCTTTTCTTAGATTTTTTTAAAAGAGACTGATTCATATTTTGAAAGTAAATCCAGAGAGGTATGGGTTAAGCCTTTACCTGTACTTACATAAAATTTTTTTTAGTAAAATTAAAAAATAATCCGTAAAATTGGTGTACTATGAAACCCTTGCATATAATATATATGCCAATCTTAGTACTAAAGAAATAAATTACGTAAAAAATAAGGTGTACAAATACGTAAAATTTATTCATCCCTCGTAAAACATCAGTAAAATATATTATAATTTGTTTTCATTCACAAATATTAATTTCTTAAAAATCTAATAGAGGCGCCACTTTCCAGACGAAAAATCTTGCAATGTAAGGGTTTCGTAGTACCCCACTTTTAAAGTTTATTTTTGACTATTTTTAAAATAAAAAAATATGTATGTGTAGGTAAAGGTTAAATCTATGCTCCTCTGGAACCACTTTTTCAAAATTCAATTTAGTTTTTTCTAAAAAAAATTGAGAAAATGGGTAAAACAAGTCGAGTTTTGTATTTTTTTTTTAGAAAAAACTGTTTTAAATTTTAAAAAAGTGTTTCCAGAGGAGCATAGATTTATCCTTTACCTACACGTACATATTTTTTTCTTTCAGAATAAGTCAAAAATAAACTTTAAAAGTGGGGTACTACGAAACCCTTGCATGCTCCGCTCTACAGCCAAGTAAATACTCCTCTTAACGGCCTTTAAAAATATTGGAGGCCTTTAAAAATATTTTCGTATTCGTTAATTTACTTATGTCATTATTTAAACAGATTTCTTTAAGATAGTCCTCTAATGTATTTTAAAGATCCGTTTAAATAATGACAGTAGTAAAGAAGAAAATATTTTTAAAGGCCGTTAAATATAAAGAAATTGTTACAGAATAGACCCCTATATGTATTATATGGCGGTAAATGTGCTGGCGGTCAATTGTAGGCTATTAATTGCTTAGGCGATCAATTGCTACGGCGCCGGCGCGGCGGTAAACTGCTAGCGGTCAATTGCTGGCGGTCAATTGCGGGCGGTCAATTTTCCTAGACCCCTATATTATGTCATTGTTAATCCCCAATATTTTGGTAAAAAGCCGCCACTGCTTCCTTATTATTATTATTTATGTGGGAATTGATTGGGTATTCTGGTCAGTTTTTGTATGATGTCTGCAATGATAAACAATTATTTAAATCACCTGTAAGTCATGTACTACTTGGTTTATCACAGCAAAGTCATCATGATTGGGTTTGGTACAACTCTGTATCGTTAAAAGCAACCTCAAAATTTCCCTATAATGCTCCAAGGGTTTGTGAATAAAAGTTGTTATATCAGGCCTTCTCCTAGGTATTTGAGGCACCTGAAGAAATCTATAAACAAAAATAATAGAAACAATATGTACAAAGATAGAGATATCATCGAATATTCTTACCTAGAAAACTCCGAGTTGCAATTTTTAGTCTTATTTGCAAGTATGCAGTCAGCTTTTTTAATTCCTGAACAGTATCGTTTGTACGCCATCGTTAGCTCTTGGAGTTTGGAAAAATAGGTTTTGGCCAAGAGGTGCATTTGTGGTTCCCCATCATCTTGTACTAAGTGGTCTAAAATGTCTTCGGTTATTCGAAGAAGCTAAAACGAAAAATAGGCATACATAATTAAATGGTAATTAATGTTTTTTTATACATTTATTGAGTTCTAATCAAGGAGTAAACAGCTAGAAAAAGTTTGTACAGAATATTACAGAAATAGTACATAAATAGTACAGAAATAGTACAAAAATACTACATAAATAGTACATAAATAGTACATAAAAAGTACAGAAATAGTACAGAAGTAGTACAGAAATAGAACCGAAATTAGGTTGATGACCTAAAAAAAAAGGTCGTTACTCATTTTCTCCAGGTCACTAACGCCTGCCAAGTGGGAATACTACTTAACCCTACACAGTACCAAAGATTACAAAATAGTGCAAATTAGTACACAAATATTTCACATATTAGTACACAAATAGTAAACAGTACACAAGTACTGCACGAAGTACAGAAATGGTACACAAAATACACGAAATTGATTGATTTTAAAAACTATGTATTTGGTCAACCAAAATATTGGAGGTATTGGACTCAGTCATACTCTGAAGTATATGATGCCTTAGAATATGATTGACTTTTATCTTAAACTGATATACAATCGACATTTTTCTGATTTATCAAATAATAAAAAATGATGCATTTGCTAGTATAAGTCGTGTCGTATAAATTGCTATTTTTTTCATAGCGCTGTTATCGTTTTGAAATAAATATAACGTTTTATTAAGAAATTTTTTGGTAAATTAAACCGTATTTAGCATATTGAACCAAATATCCTTATTTAGACTATTCTCCATATCTCCGTGTATATTAGATTGTTTTTTAAAAAAATAGTAGATTTAAATCAAAAATCAAACTGTTTCGAGAAATTTTAATAGTATTGTTTAGCTAATAATCAATTTATGCGTTACTTTTACCTATTTTATCTAATTTAAAGCATTTTCCTAGTTAATAGTATAGGCAAAACACCATACAGACAACTGTATTGGTAGGTGCATATTATACTTTTTAAAGAGATTTGCAGAATTTACGATAGTTTCAGGTCAATTTTAGCTTATTTTGAATAGATGTCGCCACTCTTAAATATACGTAAAATAAACAGAGACGACCCAACGATATAATTATTCAAAATGTCATTATAAATAAATTATTTACCTCTTCGCAGTTTTGAAATAACATTCTATGTTCGGCTGAGGTGATAAGATCCTTTCTCTCAGCTAAGGCAGAAACAAATCTGGTGATGGCGAATTGTAAACCAGTGGCGTACTGTTGTTCTTTACTAATTAATTGATAGATAGCTTTTTTCTTATTTTCTTCTGGATTGTTAGTAGGTTTCTAAAAAAGAATAGACGATTTAAATTATACTTTGTTGAGGTGTGTCACTAAAATATAGAACTTTAGTTTGTATAGATACGTTTCATCCCAATAAACAAAGTTTATCGGCACCGTAACTGGGCCGAAGGAGACTTGCCGGATGCCGGACTCGGCCCGATATACGGGTGCAGCTTCGGCATATAGGTAGGGCTTGTCCGCCCAGCCGAATGTCGGCAGTCCACTAAATTGTAGCCGCGTTCATATATCTACATATAATTCGGCCGGTAAGGATGCCTCCCATGCCCGGCTAGCCAAATATTAACCGCGTTCGGCCCGTAAGGATGCTTTCCATGTCTGAAACGCCAAATATGGACCATATGCGGTTTCTACTTCTAAATTACGTCAAATGGTACGATCTCGCCGGCTGTGATTTTACGTTTCCGTATTCAGTACAAACCGACCCCAGGCAGCAGACTGACGATATTTTGACGACATTTTTTTGGTAATTCTTGGTCATCGACGTCATGTTACCAACAAATGAGCTGATTATGACGTCACTTCTTTAACGTCTTTTTGACGTCACAAATTCGACGTCAGTGTGACGTCAATTTATTGTCACTATTAAATTAAGGTTTATATTAAACGTGATTTCAATACATTTTATTTATGTAAAATGATATGGCCTAAACAATTATTTTTTATAACTCTTAGGTCTATTAACGTTTAAATCTGGCGCTTAAAATGCATAAAGATTGTATGACACCACGTGACATAAGAATGCGTCTGTCTGTGGTTATCGGTCTGTGGAGTATGGCTCGTGTGTGTTCGTGACGTTCAAGCAAACACGAGAATCGTATCGCGCATTGTTGCATCGGCTATATGTAACGGTGTGTACATCGTGGCCCGTATGCATTCAGGATCGTCGTTAAAAGTTAAGAGAAGATCAGTGAAAAAAGTTATACCAATATCAACCCAGCATAAGGTATGTGACTTTTAGTTTTATTACATCTATATTTTCTTTATTCTTAAATGATTTTATATCTATTACATTCATAGGCTGTTTCCTAAAATATTCCCAGGTTCGTGAAATAGTATTAAATGGCGGCACTCATAGTCTTCATAATTGTGCCAAAGACAAAATATTAACGAACAAGCTGGCCACATTTGGAGCAGTTGGATTTATGTAAATTAATGTTTTTTGCCAATAACATTTTATGTATTTAAACTGATTTTTCTTTTTAATTATAATTATTTCATTTTCTAATTTTCTTTTATTAAGTGACCCACAGTTCCTATAGAAAAGTTACAAAGGAGTAACAATATCAAAATATAAAGTCATGGTGACGTCTCAAATAACGACAAAGGTGACAAACAACGATATAAAAATGTCATAAGGACGTTATAAAGACTACTATTATATTATATTATATTTAGACGTGAAAAGAACGTCTAAATATGATGTCATTTGGGCTGTTACATATTCACGTCATTTTACCGTCATTATCACGTTAGTTTTCAGAGGATAAATGACGTCCTGTATGACGAAAATAAGATGTCATAATGACGTCAGTCTGCTGCCTGGGACGCGGTCTTGAAATAAACTCGGGAAAGTAATGCAATATTTATAGGCAAACCCGTGTTGATATCGAGACGCCAGATAATGTGGTTTTTAAAGAATTCAGTTATTAGGTTTGTAAACCCAAATATATTAATCTCTTTGGATCCATTTTGCATGCATAAAAGTTATGATGGCGACATTAGTATCCTACTAAGGCTGGTTTCATGCACTGCGTTTGTGAACGGACGTTTCTAGTTCTATTGAATTAAATGTGTAGTTTTATGTACGGACGGACGCCCGCGAGGAACGTCCGTTTGCCAGATACTTGCGTTTGGTATTTCGAACGTGCGTTCCTAAATGAACGTCCGTTTGCTTTAAATACATTAAAGGTAAAGTTAAAGGATATGTAAAGTAGAGATTTGGCCGATATAGGCGTTTCTAGCCTCTTCAGCCGTACTGGAAGAATCAGGGATCGGGCCTGAGGGGATGGGGGAAAAGAATGGTGTAGGGTAACTGAGAGGAAGCTACTGACCCAGTAATTGTCTATTGCTATTAGAAAACCTTTGAAGGCCATGGGGCTCGATCCATGACCTGCCAAATACGAGGCAGATGCGTCGAAAAGTGGCCTCGGTAGGTTGTTTTAAAAAAACGTGCGTTTATACTACGTCAGCAGATTAACCAAGAACCCAGTGAGGGACGTCTGTCCTTGAAACCGTCATTTCAGCATTAACCTATTTGGTACGGATTCAATTTTTTCTAGTTAGATGTATTTTGACGTTTCAACTGGAGTATATACCTTAGTGCTGCATTAAAATTTTTAGATTTTTTCCAAATTTGGTTTTTCTTTAGATTAACCAATGTTCCATTAGGTTTTGCCTTGGGACAGTCAGGAAAATAACACGTAAAAAAATATTGTAATTTATTTGCAGTAACAATTAAGGAGCTATATTCTTTATTCAATTAAAAATTATTAGTGTGATAATTCAAAGAACAGTTTTTGCACAAAGCTACATTGCACGCTACATATCTGATTCTCTTCCTTTATACAACGGGATTTTCCTTGTGTTAATAAGTAACATTGATTCTATCTCGATGGTAAGTAATCAAAAATAATTTAGTACTATGGTATGTATATCTACGTGATCTTATTCTCCGCTAAAATACTGCTCTTTCTTTTCCATATCCTGTTAGATGCTCAGCTATATAGTGTAACCAAAACATCTATAAAAGCTAATTTTTATGCTGAAGTTCTTGGTATACTATTCAACTATTTGCAACAGCAGACATCAAGAGTTTCTAAAAACTTTTTTTCACCATTTACTTGATTTGCGGTTTGGGTCATACGGCTGAAAATTGGTCTGCTAGATCTACATCATCCATATAAGTATTATAAAAAAGAAATTGCCTCCGGCCAGCGATTTTTTTTGGAGCCATCTTTCGCAGTTCTTTTCACTTTGACTATCGTATTAACATGACAATTATGGAGAACAAGGACTTTCTTAGTGTCTTGCCAAATTATGGCCAACGAACCAAAGTTATTACAAATTGTTTTAGAATCATCTCTTTGGCTAAGCTTATCTTCAAACTTAGGTACATCTCTGCGGTGTTTCATACAGGTTCCAATTTAAGCAAAATCCAGTGTATTTATTAATTCCACAGACGTAAAAAACCTGTCGCAACATATTACATCATTTTCCTTAATAGTGTGACCATATTTTTTTACTACTCTTTCTCCCAATCTTCCAATCTTTCCTCTTTTCCTACATAAACATTAAAATGATTAACGTAGCCTGTTTTAGAGACACAGAACTGCCAGAGTTTTATTGCACGTTTGTTGGCTTTAAGGGTAGGTACTCTTTAAGGGAGGACCTACCTTTTAATTTTGCTATAGGCTCATCATGCTTTGAAACATAGCCTCAGACCACACTCTCACTAATTCTAGATACTAATTCAACCACCTAAAATATTTTATTGACATCTTTAGGTTTATTTGATTGGTTGAAATAAAGTTTTGAGAATAGTAGAAGAAATCTATCTCTACCAGTACACATGGACACGATTATAGGACATTACCATCGTGGCACCGATAAGAACCATTATTTCATACGGATCAGTTTTTTAATAGTATACTATGCAACGATCATGTAATGATGGTTATTAATACACGAGCATTAACCGGGATACGAAACGAGCCAAACGCGAGTTTCGTATAGTTTATGTGAGTGTATTAATAACCATTATATGAGAGTTGCATACGCTATTTTTTCTACACCAGAAAAATAATCAAGAACTATAAATATTATATTTATATTGGTATTGAACACAATAACAGTAATTACTCGTATTTCTATAAAAAAATCTACAAAATTGTAATTAATGGTATTACCTCGGGTATTGATATTACCATAGATATTTGGGGCAAAATATTGTGTACTGCATTTTCTGCTTTCTCCGATATGTGTGGAGGAGTCTTCTACATCGCTGATATCAGACATTTTGATAATATAATTATCGAAGTTTTGCTATCTACGAAAATTTAATACGTTTTGACAACTAAAACAATTACATAGGATAGGAACCTAGGACAAACGTCAAATGCACAGCATGTTTGATTGAACAATTGTAGGTTTCTATTGATTAAAAATCTGTATCGTAATGAAAAATCTGTATCATAATGGGTATCATTATGAAACGGATTATGGGCATATAAGTGCATTATTATAATACGGGTGTAGAAAAACTACTTTTTCTACACCCGTATTATAATAATGCACTTATATGCCCATAATCCGTTTCATAATGATACCCATTATGATACAGATTTTTCATTACGATACAGATTTTTAATCAATAGAAACCTACAATTTTTCAATCAAACATGCTGTGCATTTGACGTTTGTCCTAGGTTCCTATCCTATGTAATTGTTTTAGTTGTCAAAACGTATTAAATTTTCGTAGATAGCAAAACTTCGATAATTATATTATCAAAATGTCTGATATCAGCGATGTAGAAGACTCCTCCACACATATCGGAGAAAGCAGAAAATGCAGTACACAATATTTTGCCCCAAATATCTATGGTAATATCAATACCCGAGGTAATACCATTAATTACAATTTTGTAGATTTTTTTATAGAAATACGAGTAATTACTGTTATTGTGTTCAATACCAATATAAATATAATATTTATAGTTCTTGATTATTTTTCTGGTGTAGAAAAAATAGCGTATGCAACTCTCATATAATGGTTATTAATACACTCACATAAACTATACGAAACTCGCGTTTGGCTCGTTTCGTATCCCGGTTAATGCTCGTGTATTAATAACCATCATTACATGATCGTTGCATAGTATACTATTATTTTTTGTTTGTTATAATATTTCCAGCCTCTGATTAGTAAAGTCAGAAATACACATAAATAGAAAGATTTATTGAAAAACATCTAGTACTGAGGAACTACGATTCAAGTCCGCAATTAAGATTGAATTTTTCTTTGCAGGTTTTTTTTTGGGTAAAAAAAGATTGACTACTTCTTTAAAAATAACAGCTTTGGGTGCGGGTGATAAATCATTATCATCTTCAATTTCCATTTAATTTTCTTCTTAAGTTTCTCTTTTTTTGTTGCTCTTTCGTGTTCTGATTCTTCTTTTAAATGGTCAACGCTCGAGGAAAATGTATCTTTGTTTTAGTCCCAGTGTCAAGAATGTAATCAGAGTCGTTGTCGGTTGCATAAAGATCGTCAGATTCTGAATCAAGATCAAACAAATTTTCCAACAATAAAAAATGTTCTTTTTTTTTGTCAATTTCGCCTACCAATTTAAATTTACCGAGGCCAAAACGTACCCGTATTTCGGAAATCACCTAAAAAATGTTTATGTGATTTCGGTGATTTCGATGAAAATCCACCTTAATTTTAAACCATAACCTTTTTCTTTTGTCTGTTCTCTTGGTTTTGATCCACGCAGAAAACACACGTTTTTGAGCAAAGAACAAAGAACTGATTTCGAAGTGATTTCGGCGATGATTTCGATGATGATGATTTTGGGAATTTTCGAGAACATTTATAGTGATTTAAGGTGATTTCGAATGAAACCGTACCAGTATTTCTGAAGTGAGTTACCGGATAGCACCATTTGGTCGTATATGTCCCAATAAAAATACTCTTTTGTGATATGCAATCCCTTCCCTACATGCCAAAGTTGGAAAACGCAATGATTGAAATGTCAAACATGCTTTCAGAGCGAACGCACTTGAGCAAACGTAGTGCAGTACATAAAACCAGCTTAATAAAAGTCCAACGAGACAGCCCATGTAGTAAATATAATTAAGCGTTCCTATGAAATAGCTTAAAATTGTCAATGTTATTAACTATAGATTAGTGTTAAATTTCAGTTTATTGTAAGATATATGCTAATAAATAAGAATAAATAAGAATAAATAATGAATAAAAAAACAAAAAAAAACAAAAAATCAATTCAAAAACATGTATTTATACACAACATAAATAACATATTTAACAATATAAATGAAATAAATAATATTAGCAATTAAATAATAAATAAAAACAAATAAGTGAGTACAACAGTGAGAAATATTTACAAAAAAACAAAATGGTGTCTAAGTAAAAGAGACAATCAAATAAAATATAAAGAAATGTGACTTACACATATACTGGCCATACATAAAAATTAAACATAAATAAATACAAATTAAAATGGTGATTAGTATACAAAAGCTTTAATTCAAGCAAAAATAGGCAAAATTTCTTATATGCAGCACTGTACCTAATCAAGAAATTTCAGTTATGAACCTCGTAGGTTTTTAGCACATAAATTTCTTTAGCGTTTTCAGCCATTTTTTTAATCCTAAACATGTTTTAAAAATTGTGAAGTTTGAAAAATCCGCAAACAAAAACAATATATAGATTAATTCAAGTTTCTACAACTTTCACCACACATACTCAGACTTTACCGACACCCTGTATGTAAATTGCTACAATAAATAATTAGATATCTATTTTAGTATTGTACTAAGGGTTAAAGAAAATTGAAAAAGCTGAAGCAGAAAAATCTTTTAAAATCTTAAAGATTTTTCCAAAATTAAATATATCATTTACGATATTCTGGTTATGATTATTGAAGAAAGTAGACCAAGAAGCCTTTGAAAAAATGCAGTGTATTTCTGAAGAGACAAAATTTTTAGTAAATACATTATTAAGGTAAATTATCCAAGAATTCTTGCTAAAAGCCAGGCGTGGGGATGTTTTGACACTTCAAGGCAAAAATGTGTCAGATTTCGTTTGCGTTAAGAAGAGGCCAAACCTTTTGACCCAACTACAGAAAAGCAGTAGCGTATATAAAGTATACAGGTATATTAAATAATGGGCCATACTTGAGATATAGTTAGTTTGGACAAAAATACGTTCATTTAAGTCTAGTTACCTTAGTACAATTGAATCGGTGAGTGGAAAAACGATATAACTTCCAAAAATGTCATTTTTAAACCAAGATGGCCAAAATGCTCTCTAACTCTGTATGTCTCTACTGGGCTGAAAAACAGTATAAAAATCGAAACACGTACGCTTCCACATAGCGGCACACTTTGACGTTGAGTGTAATAACCATATAACTCCAGCTTTTATATCGTTCTTCCACTCAATATCGCGCATGAGCGCCTTCAGTCAGCTGATGTATCGGAATGCGTCATTTGTAACATTAAATCATTAGTATTCAGTTCGATCTTGTAGTATTAATATTAAATATTTTCTCTTATACTGTACGAATTTAAAAAAATGTCTGGCAGTGAGAGTTCTGATACAGAAAGAGCAGAAAATACGCGAAAGAAAAGGTGTCCCAAAACATGGAAGCGAAATGAAAGGAAGAAGGCTCGTCTTCTTGGACACCAACGCACAACTAAAACAGGTAAAATAGTCGACAAAAGGGCTGTCAAAGAAGATTGCACGTAAGTACTATTAATCTATTCTAACCAACGGTTTGTAACTTTTTTCTTCATATGTAAAAAGAAATGCATGTTAGAACTTACTATGGACGAAAAAGAAGCTGTTTTAAGGAAGTTATGCAAGAAAGGTTCGAAAAACGAGCACAATATCTATCTGCAAGGCTTTATGGAATGTAAGCAAGTAGCTAGGAAGCGACCAAATGGAGAAGCTAGGCAAAAAACCGGGAAGTGACTTTTTCGTATTATATACGAAAGAATTTAGAGAGGCAACAAGTTCGCAAGGCAGTTTTTCTTAGTCTGCATTCAATATCGAATTCCAGGCTACAACGCCTAAATAGATTGTTAGTTTCTAAGAGTTCACTTAGATATCTACGTGGAACACATAATAATAGACCGCACGTTTTACAATCAGAGGTTATTACCAAAATACATCAACATATTGAATCGTTTGCCCGTAAAACTTCTCACTACAGTTCTAAAGAAGTTCATTATCTTGATTCAGCTATAAACGTTAAGATTATGTATAATCTCTTTGCAAAATTATACCCGGAATTAAAGAATATCGTCAAATATGTATTTTATTTAAAATTCTTCAAAAAGAATTTTGCACTAAAATTTGAGAGGCCTCAAGTTGATGTATGTAGTCAATGCGAAGAATTAGGCACAAAACTTAAAGACCCAAACTTGAACGACAACGCGGAGAGAGTTGCAGCTGCCAAATTGATGTTCCATAAACGTAGGGCAAACAAATTTTACTCAATACTTAAGGAAATCACTACTTTGTGCCACGAGCGTGAAGATGTTGGTGGAATAGTTTTTGATTATATTTAAAATATGCCACTGCCTGTTATACCCGCCCAAGAAATATTTCATTACAGACAATTGTGGCTATATTGGTTCAAAATACACGATTTGAAAACGGATCAGGGACACTTTTATACATACCATGAAGAAGCCGCGAAGGGTCCCAATGAAGTATGCACATTTATTAATGACTACGTGCAGAAAACGCCTGCAAAAATTCAAGAGCTTCACATATTCTCAGATAGTTGTCCGGGCCAGAATCGTAACAACACCGTAGTGAGATATTTATTAGCTTCAAAACGATTTCGTAAAATTTATCATTACTTCCCAGTACGTGGTCACTCTTTATTGCCATGCGACAGGGACTTCGGTTGTCTTAAAAGAGTGATAAGAAAATATAATAGAATCTATTTTCCAGAGAATTACGAAAACATGAAGCTGTCTTGCCGTAAATTAAAACCATTCGGGATATCAACAATATGCTATAAAGATATCACCGATTACAAAAACTGGTGGCCAAACCACTACAAGAAAACATGTCAATCTTCCGATAACATAAAATCCAAATTTACAGTATCAAATGACAGTTCTACACCTGGGTATGTCATAACTAGCGAGTATATTGGCGGACTCGTCTCAACAACTTTCAAGTTAGTCAAGCCTAAAGCAGACCCAACTTTACCTACTGCGCCCGCATACTCAAAGATATTACCAATCAATATAAAGAAAATTGATAACCTCAAAAAACTGATGTAATATATAACAGGGGGAAATTTTGGAATTTTATTACCACATTACGTCATGGGAAACCAGCAACGTGGAAGATGAAGATTAACTTGAATTAATGTTTTTTTTATGTTATGTGAGTTTAAGTATGTTAAATACCGTATAACTCCAAGAGACATTTTGTCGCGCAGGTCATTAATAAAAAAAACAAAATGATATTTCATTTCTTGTTCTAGTTCTTGTACCAAACAGTTTTTTGTCATTATCTCCAAATCACATTTTTGGAATTATATTCGACTCAACTATTTTGCTTGCTTAAGAAGTTACAGGGTGGAGAATTTTTTTCTAAATTTTCGGTAATTCAATTGTTTTTTGAGTAAATATAACCAAATTTTGTATAAGTAAGTGTTTTTGGGTGATACATTATATTACATGTACAGGGCGTTCTAAACTGGCTTGCCACTATAGTATTTACTTTACAGATTTTTTAAAAAAATTATATTTTTAAAAAATAATTAATTACTTTATATTAGCATTCAATTTGCTTTAAAAAGGGAATCATCTCGCTAAAACTTATTTTCCACGCCTAACAAAACTATAGTTCAAATTAAATTTTCCCTATAATGATCCATTTTAGAGACATGCAACAAGTATACCCTTTTTAAAGCAAATTGAATGCTTTTTCAAAATAAATATTTATTTTTTAAAGATGTCGATTCTTAAAAAAATCTGAAGTAAATTATATATTAACAGGCCAGTTTAGAACGCCCTCTACATATAATATAACAAACAAGCTGGTATTCGTTTGTATCACAAACCTACTTTCACCAAATTTATGGGTATATTTACTCAAAAAATAATTGAATTATAATAACAATATTGAAAAAAAAAAATATTTTCTCCACCCTGTAACTTCTTAAGCAAGCAAAATTATGCCAAGGTAAATTGACTTAAATTAATGTTTTCTATCCAAACTAAGGGAAGTTTTGCCCATTCTTTACTAAACACCCTGTTTATAATTGTACATTAAAGTTCACAGCGGAAAAGCAAAAATAAATATAATGTAAATAACTAACAAATGCATAGTAGAATATTCAATTCCCAATAAAAGCAATATTTTATTTTGGAAAAAATTTAAAATTGAAAAATACAACAATAATGCTGTTTATTTATTAAATATATTTTATTTATCTACAAAATAAATAGCCATATTGTAGAACATAAAAATCTGTATTAGTAAGTTTATCACATGGGTGTCAAAAGAAAACAAAAAAATATGTTTGTCGTGACTCCCATTCTCATATTTTCATGTTTATAAGAGGAGGAGGGTGGCTTGATGGTTAGAGTCTCTACTTTCGGATCCACGGGCTTTAGGTTGGAATCCCACCGTGCCTAATTTGTTTCTAATTAATTTAATTAAGTAAAAATTGATTTTAATAAATGGGTAGAATTTCCCTACTCGACTATTCACTTTTGGGTTCTAACTAACAGTTTTGTTACTAAAGTGGAAAGAGTACTAAATGAAAAGAGTACTAAATGGAAAGAGTGTCAAAATCTAAATAGAACACACACTGGTAAATTGGATAAATAGGTTTTATTAAAGCCATATATAGTAGAGCCCTTGAAGTTTATTTTTTCAGAAATATACTGCTTTTTAAAATGGCCTTACCATCTATAGAGATGATTGTCATTAATCTACTAATGAGTGAAGCAGCGAAAAGGAAATTTTCAGGAAAATGATTGTTCGTTTGGTTTGTGAGAGTTAAGTTTAGGAAAACAATATGTCTCACTTGGAATAAAAATCGACGTGTTTCAGCGGTTTTTTGCACAAGCATTTTTTTTGGAATTTATTAATTTTGTTTCGTTTTCGGTGGTTCACCCTGTATATTCTATACTGATTTATTTCTTTTAAAATAGAAATATTTGTCATAAAAAGTCGTTCGATTTTTTAACAGTTTCTAAATATAGGTTGAAACTGTTGACAAACGTGTGCATCAACCGCAATGTTCTATATTTTTCTTTTTTTTGTTGGTGTTGGTTTTTCTATTATTGTTTAGTCGTACACATATATAACCGTTTGTGGTTGAAGCTAAATGAAAGTTTTTGAAAGTCCAGTTTTAAAATTAACGATCTAAAAAATGCCAATTTTTGCAAAAAATTCTTAATCTGGATCCATTTAGATATTTTTCTATTTAAACCAAGCACTCAATGAATTGCACTTGACTTATAAGCGAGAATTTTGATCAATCAGCCTCATATCTGTTTGCTGCGTTAATTCCTTCACATTTATTAAGTTGGTAGGAGGTACTTGTTTTCATTATTATCAACAGAAGTTTACTCTTAAGAATTTTCTAAACAGCAAAAATTTTAAACGATTACTCCACTACCAACCTCTGCACTGAACGTGACCTGAGGCAAGTGAAGTTTTCTTCTGTTGTACTCCACCGATACAGTGTTGGTCGAACAAACGGTGGATGGTCTTCGTTGTTGTTGTACTAGGTTCGAACAGGAAGTGACAGGGAGAATAGAGGTACTGCCCAGCGTGGTGGAGGTCGCTAATGGCATTGACAGTCTTTTTACACTGGGAACTGAACCATTTCGCGATGGATTCCGCCGAAAAATTTCTAAGGTTAATTGACTTCCGTAAGACCTGTAACAATAAAAAAAAACGATTAGATTGATGGAAGGGATATTTAGACTTTTAATTTTTATTTCGGTGCACTAGATCTACATTTTATGAACTACATTTGTAATACTGATAAGATTAATCTCTGTTTTCAAAACGTAGCTGATAAAAATTTTGAATAGCAGCATAATTAGCTTGTTATTAAATTTTATTGAAAAAAGTTTGTATGTGTTATTATTATATTAATATTATGAGAAAAGCTAGTTGGAAATATTGAAGAAAGATATAGAAGAGAATACTTTAGGTAACTGTTATTTATGTGTTTAGACAGAAAGTATATATAAAGAGAGTAATCTTATCTAGACTTAATAAAAAAAAATCGTATTAAATTTACCTTATGAGATTCAAAATATCAATCTCCGGCATCGTGACCACATTATGCTTGTCCACGAAAATGATGTAATCCCCCGGAAGGATTCCCGCTTTGTCAGCAGGTAATCCCTTTTCCACCCTTTCTATTCTCGGGGGGTGTGTCCAAACGACTGAGAATCCAAACCCCGACTTCGGAGGCTTTGTCAGCCTTTTTGTACACGTGAACGGAGTCCTGCCATTTTTGTTTCCTGTTGCCTTTCTTTGAGTTGCTGCCGAAGAGGCATCCGGACCATCAGTTGGGTCTAGTTCCAGATATCTAAAAACAAAAAGAATAATATAGTAATTAATTAAATACCGTATGAAGGAATAACAAAACGAACGTTCCCGGGTGTATGCTGATGACACCAGGATGACCGTTAAAAATGGTAGTACATTTTCCAAAAATAATTTTCACACTGCGTTTTTGAACATAATATAATGAGGGACCTTCCAGATTGTTGTGAAATGTAATAATTATTTACTTTAATGATAATCAATACTATTGTACCCTACTGTTTATCATCTTTTAGGCTTGATGATTGCTTTTCCATTAATTTTATCAATTTTACGAATAGGGATGCTGAGTGGGTAAAACAAGGAAATTTATTACAAATGAATTGCTGTACTTTTGATACTAAATAATTGTAATAGTAAAGTTTTGTGTGACTTGGCAACAGTGTAAGATGTAAAAGTAGCATCTCCGAGCTTTAATTTGAGAAAATTTGTGAAATAGTTATATTTAAAAAAATTATTTGTGTCTTTATTATTAATTTGCACAAGAGATGGAACTAAGATATATGAAAAATAAGCATATACAGGGTGTTTCATAAGGAATAGTTATTATTTTAAGCATATTAATATTTTGTTAAATAACACTGGGTCAAATGTTATCTTCTAAATCTACAAAGATATTATTTAAAAAAGTATAATTGGGGTAATTAAATTTTGAAAATTTATATTTTATCGGGCTCAGGTTAAATCGAACAAGTAATTGGAAACTGTAGAGTAAACCCTAATATTTTCAGTTTGTAAAACGTATTTTATTTTTCGTTAAAAATGTACTAATATGTGTAGTATTTTGAATTTTTTTAATTCATATTGTTAAAAGCGTAGTGGGGACTGGAAAAATTTCTATATAATTACTATATACTATATTAGTGTAATTTATTAGAATTTTGTTAGCGTTAAATTTTTGATCGCAGATTTTCAAATAGTGATTTTCTAAAACCAGTTTTCTCTGAGCATTACCAACTAAGAATAAATCAGCATACGAAGTATTATGAGTCAACAATAGGAACCGAACGAAACTTTATTGAAATTCTGTGTTTGTCCCCTTAGTTGCTGTGGCCGTATCGATATCAAAAACTATACTACGAATCCTAGTACACTAGGAAACGTCGTAGTAGATATATATTCCAATACCATGACACCTAGGAATTCTTCTGTGAAATCATCGGGAGATACGGATGAGAATGTTCCTATTATTCTTGGTATTTTGCTTTCTTTTCTAGTGTACATTCGGTGTTTTCGTTTTCATGTCGTTTGAATTTTTTGTCCGTCTTGTCCTTGGTATTTTGTTTTTTATCATGTCCATTCAATATTTTCGTCTTCGTGTTGTTCGAATTCTTTTTCCGCAGCTTCTTGGTATTTTGTTTTCTTTTCTTACAAAAGTCTATCGTCTTGGGTCAATTTCTGTTCATGGTCTTTTCTTCACAAATTCCCATAGCAGATTTCTCAATTAAAATTTTTTCTACTCTTGCGTTCCAATTCCCGTTGCATTGCCTATAAACTTTAGTTTCATATCTCAAAAACACTGCAAGTACTCTTACGAGGGGAAATACTCGTCTCTTGGTGTTTGAAATCCTGCCTTTAAACAGTAGTTGTCACCTCTAAGGAGCCAGATATCTGAGTTTCTGGTTTATAAAAAATTGTTTAAGAGCCGTTCCTCTAATGCTGATTCAAGTGTCCATTCAGGGTTTTCATTTTTATGTAGTTCGATTTTTTTGTTCGTCTGTTCTTGGTAATTTGTTTTTATTTTATGGAATTCATTCAGCGTTTTCTTCTTTATGTCGTTCGAATACTTTGTCTGTCTGTACTTGATATTTTGCTTTCTTTTCTGGTGTCCATGTAGTATTTTCGGTTTCATGTCGTTCGAATACTTTGTCCTTGGGTTCTTGGTATTTTGATTTCTTTTCTGGTGTCCATTCTGTGTTTTCGATTTAATGTCGTTCGAATTCTTTGTCCGCGGGTTCTTGTTATTTTGTTTTCTTTTCTTACAAAAGTCTTGAGTCAATTTCTGTTCATGGTCCTTTCTTTACATATTCTAATAGCTGATTTCTCAATTGAAATATTTTTCTACCCTTGCGTTCCAATCCCCCGCTGCATTGCCTATAGACTTTAGTTTTATATCTCAAAAACACTGCAAGTACTCTTACGAGGGGAAATACTTGTCTCTTGGCGTTTGTAATCCTGCCTTCAAAAAGTAGTTGGCACCTCTAAGGAGCCAGATATCTGACTGTGTCTTTTATTGAAAGCCTATATTGGTTAACACTGTATGACATCACGAATGTAGTCAGAATTGAAAATGTTTGTTACAGATTTAGGACGTGGTTGCCTTTTTGGAGGAATCACGAATGTAGTCAGAATTGAAAATTTGTGTTATAGATTTGGGATGTGGTCGTCTTCTTGGAGGAGAAATTTAAATATGGTTATTCTTTAATGCCTTGGAAATTGAGCTTACCGTCTTTGACTGCATTTATTGGTAATAAAGGGCTCGTTCTTCTTTAAAATATTTTAGAGGCCCCACTAATTCTTTCGCATAACTATTTAAATGCTTAGGCATTTTAAAAATCAAAAAATAAATTTGTTTTCTAATCACAAAGATAATACTATTGACAGTTTTACAGTTTAATTATTATACATATCATAAAAAGAAATATTGATTTGGCAACTGTCCGTTACGCATAACAATTATTATCTTCAAAGCAACAAATATGACTAACAGCAATGATTTATCTGTTCAATTTGATAAACAATTTTCATTATTGACGTGCAACGGAATTTTCATTGCAATGACTATAATTGTTGTTTCATGACAGGTATAAGACGGGTGCAAAATAAATAGCACACCTAGAGTAAGAAATAACTATTATATTTGCTTGTCCAAATCAATTATTGTACATATTACATACCTACATGAGTTTAAGGAATATCATTATTCTCACAATACTTTTGAAGTTCATTATTGGTGTTGAATAGTCAAGCATGAAAAGTTCAAAGAATGGTTAACATTTCTTGTTTAAAAAAACGAGACTTACATGACTAGAGAGTGTTCACTCCACATAAAAATCGTATTACCCTTTTTTGCAGACAATAAATACTATTAAATAACTCAAGGCTAAAACAATAGATGCTACAACCTCGCCAAAATGCAATTCCACATATCATCTTAAATGGGACTCAACTAGAACGATTATACACCTTTAACTTGTTTAAAACCTATTTATTTTACCACAGAAGAAAGTTTTTTGTTTAGCTATTCTACGAGTATATGGTTCTTACATTTCTAATTATTGTCTAAATGTATGCCCAGAAATTGCATCGGTACATTCAGTTTTATGATTTTCTATAAGGGTTAATAGTTTTGTTTTTCATATTTAGATACAAATAGCTAATGTCGCACCATGCTTTAATTTTTTTTAATGTCACAAGTTATTATGGTGTTATAAACAACACAGGTGATTTTTTTTTATTTTGGTGTCATCGGCATCGACTACTAAGGCCATTAGCGTTGTTACGGTTTCCCAGCGCCACTTTAGGAACAGCACTGTTAATTAAAACTCAACAGTGAATGGTCGAGTGGGAAATCCTACCAAGGCATCAGAATTAATTTTAAATAAATAAATTAAATAAAAAAATTCCGGCCAATGGTGGGATTCGAACCTGGGACCCTTGGATCCACAGGGAGAGACTCTACCACTAAGCCACCTACCCCTTCGCAGGTGTTATTAATTGTTGCGTCATAATCGTAATGTTATCAGCAAATTGAGTGATTGTACTTGCAATATGTTAAGTTGTGATAAGTAATTTATATAAAAAAGAAATAAAATGGGACTCAACACAGAACCATGAGGAACTCCCCAATTTATATCTTAAACTTGAGAATACTTAGTAGCTTTTACCATTTGCTTACGTTCTGAAAGATAACATTTTATCTGCGCTTCGTGTTTGATTCCGTAAATTCGAAGTTTTTGTAACAATACTGTAGGATTGACACAATCAAACAATTTAGTCAAATCACAAAATACCTCAACTACAGCTTTGTTAAGATTAATTTTAGAGTAAGCAGGTTCAAGAAAACAAAATATCGTAATAAAAAACAGGCGGGCGGAGGAGGCGATCCAGTCCTGATAATTGATAGCTCACCATAATATGTATAATTTTCAATGCACATTTCAGTGGCGTGGCATTTTTGATTAGTTCGTGTAACGTTCCACTGGAGTTCAATGGTCATATATTTGTATCCCCTTTACTTTAAAGTGTCAATCGTTACTATCCTTTCTATGTGTGCTTTCGCCGCAAATGAAATATTCGAATATGCCGCTAATGGACTCTGCAAAGAAATTTGAAAAACGTATGACTAGATATCGACAGATAAGAGACCGATAAACTGAAGAGAGAGACAGATTGAAAAAAATATGACATTGAAAATTGCTTTCAAATCATAAACATTACTGAAAAATGGCATTAATTTTATTCACTAAGACTATTAGAACCACCAGGATTACTCCCAAATTGTCCATGCAAACTGCTTTTATGCACTACCGCGATTTGATAGGTAAAAGAGAGATTGTTGGATTTGGATTCAATGGACAACCAAGCTACATCGATAGATCAGAATTCCCCTTTCCAGCTATTAGATGGAGAGAACCTTCTAAAGAAATCGAAGAACTTCGTAAGAAAGAAAAAGGCGATTGGCGCAAAATGAACATTTGCGAAAAGAAGACTCTATACAGAGCATCGTTTTGCCAAACTTATGCTGAATTTTTGAGTCCGACCGGTGAATGGAAGTCTGTCATCGGTGCAGCATGTTTTTTCCTTTCATTTGCAATTTGGTTCTTTTATTGGCAAAAGGCGGTCGTGTTTCCACCGCTTCCTAAAACTTTTAAACAAAGATATAGAAGAGCGCAATTCAGACGTATGTTGGACATTCGGGCCAATCCTATACGAGGTCTTGCAGCCAACTGGGACTACGAAAATGATAATTGGAAAAGATAAGTTTTTCAGAGAGATAGCTACATTTAATTGATTTTGTTCTTATTATTTGTTACAAGATGATTTTGAGAGATTTCTATGAATAAAAATGCATTAGTACATTCTACAAGTGTCGTTTTCAGTCTCCTAGACGTTGACTATCGCATGTATTTATTTATCTGTGTTATATTAGTTACTATAAACCCAATTAAATTGAAAAGGTTCGGGATTAGATCAGTCATTGTATTAATAACCCAATTATTGAGAACAATATCACAATACATTAACCTATTTCATAGTTTATTACAAAAATTATGCAGTGTAATCAACTAGAATGTGTAAAGCAGTTTTAAATTCTGGGTCTAGAAGATTCTTAAACTGATTAATTAGTCTTAATAAGACAGTGTCCTCTTGCAGGCTTTTCCATATGTGTACCATCCCACCCGGTGACTTATATAGTTTCTTCTTTAGAACGCATTGCATTTTCCTTTCTTTCAATGATTTGGACTTTGGAGTGTTCTCTATGTGTTCTATTTTGGTAAACATTAAAAATATTTTCACAAGAATAATTCTCTCATAGTCAATTTGTATGTTTCTATCAAGTCTACGTTCTTTATGCGTTTGGAGTTGTAGAGTGGAAATCCTTTCTAAGTAACTACTCTGAAGTTCTAGAGATATTCTAGTTACCTTTCTCTGAACTTTTCCTTACCTTTCTTTAAACTTTTTCTAACATTTCTATATCTTAACAAAATGTGGATTCCAAACTGGCATTGCAAATTCTATTTTTGACCTCATATAGTTTCGAATCAGTTTCTTTGAATTGTATTTAAATGCAATTGATAAATCATTGCATTAGCATTTTTTGTAATTTTAGAAATATGAATTTTCCATTATGTTAAATCTGAAGATATAAAAATACCAAGATCTTTTTGGACTGTAACTGAAATATTTCTCTGTTAATATAATATGCGTTATATGTATTGTTCGGATCTATGTGTAGTACTATACATGTACATTTATTTTAATTCATGGAGAGCCAACTATTTGTCTGACTTTTTCAAGATCTTTCTTCTCTACTTTTATTCATATTGCAATATATTTGTGTATCGTCTGCATAATTTTTTAGGGATGTTTATAGCATTGACCAAGTCACTATTTTATAGGAGGAACAACAGTAGTCCCAACACAGAACCTTGTGGTACTCCACTGATAACAGGATTTCTTGATACTTGACTATTAACTCTGACACATATTTGTCTATTAATTTAAAAGCTATCAATCCAATTAACTAAATTTCCGGACGGTTCAATTTTAAAAGTAGGCTCTTATGTGGTATCATTTTGCAATTTTTCATAATCCAAATTTGCCATTATCATGCCAAGTTGTACACCAATTCAAAGATGACAGCAAGTTAGTTACTACTGATCGTTTAGGTAGAAAATCATGCTGTGATGAAGGAATTAATCCATTTTTTAAACTAAACTCAGTAATCTCTGGTCATTATTTTTTCCATGAGTTTGTAGATCTTACCAGCAAAACAAGTATGTTTAGTAGGCCTATAATTTTGATGTTTGCTGTAATACTGTAATATGATGTTTTTTAAATATTTTGGAGTTAAAAGGAGTCGATTGCTGCTATTATTTCAACCACAGCTTCAACCTTAAAGATTCATATCACGCATGGTAAATCCGTGGCCCAGTGCTATACTGCGCAATTAAACTCTTTAAACCCTCCATTATTGATAAAATTGTATTATTTACCTTAGAAATAAATTTTCATCGGCGTACTTTTGTTGTTCGTTTAAGACAGTTTTGGATGTCGATCTTCTTAGATCTCCCTCCAAATCGTCCAGGCTGATTAGTTCATCGACGCTGGATTGACTCTCGCACATTTTCGCCTCCTTTCGACTGTTCTCGGTAAAGCTGATTGCTAGTAGATCGTGTGTTATCGGCACGTTCGTCGAACGACCGGTAGATTGAGGTAGAAGTCTATATGAGCCGTTAATTCTCTGCAAGAAAAGATTGACAATTAATAGAGAGATTACCTTAAATTTATTTTAATATGGTAAAGCTATATCTATACCTTAGAGATAAAGAATCGTATCTCCAGTTTTGTATTAAGTGAAGTTAATTTATTCACTAAAATACCTAATATTATATTTTTGGTGGTAAAAAATCGTAACTCTGTGTAAGTACTAGTTTGTGATATAGTACGTCTAATTTTTCAAAGAAGTAAAATGTAAAATCTAACTTTGATCTTTATTTACTCCAAGTCTGTAGAATTGGAGATAAGATTATTTACTTGTCCTATAAAAGTTAAAATATATTGAAGTGCGGTCACTTTTTAAGCTGGCAAATATAAATGTGTTTCAAACACGGTCCAAATGTGACCATTTTAATTCCAGTGCCAATTTTTTTGGCAATTTCAACATATTACGTTTCTGGCAAAAGGGTCATCTTTTTCTACTTCTATTAGTCTTCCTGTATATTTACAGTTTTCTGAGAATCTTTCGATTGTCTATGCTTGCCAAGAATTTATCGATTTTTATAACTTATTACGACACGGAACTGAAATATTGGAAAGGCCATTATGGCTCAGAGTATGCACTGCAAGAAAGGTATCTTTCGATCTGTTTTTATTTAATAAATTACCTATGGGAATATTACTATGTATTATGGATAACTTGATTGGAAAGAAAAAGATTTGAGTATGAAAACCTTGGCTAAAAGATTCTGATGTAAATATTAAGTTACTCAATGCTAAATAAATTAAATTTGCACCCTACATAAAATATTTCATGTATAAAGATGATATTTTTAGAATAGTAGTTACGTTCTATACATGTCCTCTACGATTTGGATTTTTTTTCAAGTTTTGGTGACGTGAAATGTCTTTATCTCTTGTGATCCTTGCCAGAAAGTCGTCTTTTTCTGCCTAAAACTATTGTAAAATGTCTTATAACTGTGAATTATGTAGTCAATTGCTTTAGAAACTACCTTGTTGATTTCATGTAAAGTAACTATGCTTAATTTTTAAAACTTCAACTATTCATCAACATTAAATATGATTTTTTTTACCAAGGCTTTCGCTACCGCATTGAATTCAGCGTCACCACATGGTTTGCTTGGACCAGTTAGGGAAGAATTCGCATATGAGTGTACGACTAAAGTTTGGTGTGGGGTGGCTCAATCGATATTCCTCTACGGTGCTTTAATCTGTTAGTAAAAATTTAAAGAAAATCGCTAATTAGGACGGTCTCATCGTATCGAAATGCCTTGACTACTGCTCTACAAGTCGTTGCCAGGCAATGACAGTATACTTAAAATAAAAGAGTGGAAGTGTACAGATTGAAAGGAGAAACTCTACACGAGATAAAAAAAATGTCAAGAAGGAAAATGATACAAATATGGCAGCAACGGTGAGAGACCGAAGTGGTAGTGGCTCAATAAACGAATATATTGATACTAAATCAAGGTTGACCTGTTTCTGATAGACCATTACTCACTCCTACAATTTCAGAATAAGTTAGACGTCAAATGACTCTTGCAAATTTTGAAATGGAAGGGACACACCAGCCAACAAAATTATTTTTTTTTGTCATTAGCAATACCATCTAGGTCTTAAGCTTTTAACATTTTTGCCAACTTTTGAGGTAAACTTTTGTTTCACTTATGTCAAAGTTTTACTCCTTTGCAGTTCTTAATTCTTTCAACTAATCTTTTTCCTGCACCTACCCCGTTTCAAAAAAGTGTAAAAAATAACCTAATAATCCTTTCAATATACTCTCCTCCAGAAGCCACATATATCAGTATTCTTAGCTTTTCATTTGTGAGTACATTCAGTAATTGTGTAGTTTTATTCTTCACCATTTCTGCGGACTGAAAATCGGTTCCCTTCTACTGACTTAATTTTTGGGAAGAGAAAGTAGTCATAGGGGGCTAAATCTGGCGAATGTCAATGATCCAAGACAGTTTTGCACTGTGAGCTAACAACAAAAGAGCAGTCGCTTGAAGATACCTTTACTCAAATACCAAATAACCTAGATACTTAATACTAGACAAGAAAACAAACCAAGTAATAAAGTCCAATCATCGTACAACAAAAGTTTACCAGAGTCGGGCAGGTTGTTTTAATTTCAGACTTTCTTCAAAACCTTAGAGTTAGGAAAGATAGAGGGAGCCAGAGAGAGAGAGAGAGAGAGAGAGAGAGAGAGAGAGAGAGAGAGAGAGAGAGATGTATTTTCTTAGACTGTTGTCTTAAACAACGTCGAGTTTGTTTAGACGATGACTAGGTTTATACGCGTAGAAAATAAAGTGATGTGTTAACATATTTTTTTACTATTATGCATCTTGAGATACATTTTTGATATTAAATTCAGTTTTTTGGACCATATTAACAAAATAGTTAGTTATCACATAGCATTTTTCAGTTCATTTTTGTTAGTTCCATAATATTTACATTTTATGTATGTGATAACTTATCTTTCTCTCTCTCTCTCTCTCTCTCTCTCTCTCTCCGATGTTACCTCTATCTCTCCTAGCTCTCTGATCCAAACCAGGTGAGTTTAGAGGTTCTAATTTCCAGAAATTTTGGATAACACCTTGTACTATTTCAACACATTTCGTATACGGTTCGTAAAACATACTCATAATAATATTGAGCATCTCTACTACTACGGTTAGTGCATGGTCGATTTATTATTTTGATGCCGTGGATATACTCGGAAAGTCGTTAATATTTATGACAGAATCTACTTTGGCGATTTACAAAATGGTTGCGCGCTGAAAAATTGCTTTATGTAATTGTTATGGCTGGCAATTTTTTAAGTAAATGGAGCTTTTATGGTAAGACGAACCTTTTGTTATTGCAATGCAAATTCAAATTAAATTAGGATATATTTATCTATTTTCATTTTGGTCGTAGAGTAATTTATTGTAATATGCCATGAAAGGAAATAGGTATAATAAAATTAATCATATTAATAATGTAGGCATAAATCATTTTTGTTCTAATAGCAAAAGTTGGTAAAGTCTTTGGAACGCCACAGCGGGTTGTTGCATTGGCCAGAGAAAATCTGTTTAGTTTAATCTCTGGATACATGGCCTTGGTGACAAGACTAAGATTAATATATTTTAACTACCCAATCTATTAAGGCTTCTAAACAGCAGTATATCTGACTATAACTGATTACTATTGGGGTATATTATGACGTAAGTTTTTGATTAATTTTTAACCCTAATACTTCCTTTGATCAGTCATGTATGGCTGCTATTTCTATTTGAAACACTATCGTATATTTTATGATTCACACGAGACCAATGAGACGAGACTTTCATAAAGTCTCGTCTCGTCTCGTCGATGAAATATGAAGTCATGTCTCGAGTCTCGTCTCGCAGCCTCGAGTCTCGTCTCGCGTCTCGTACGAGAGTCTCGCAAATGTATCGCAATTTCGTCATGCATAATCTTGTTCCAGTCTAGTACGGGATATTTACCTTTACCTACTTTTTAGGTATAATGTAGAAGTAGGAAGAGAAAATTACAACAAAAATAACATTATTTATTGAAAAGTAAGTACCTAATAGGTACATACTTACATCATCCATCTAAACAAGAAAAAAAAAACAGCATTATATGTTCGAAAGTTATAAAAATAAAATAAAAAGTAACACGTATATTCTAAACAAATAAACAAAACAAAAACTTTAGTCCAACATTATTTTACTTATTTAAGAAAGAAAGACTTATTTATAGATTTTCAGGTAGTCATTCAATTTGCGATCTGTCGTAATTGCAGTATTGCCTTTATGTTCCGCCGCCGTAAGAGAGAGAACAGTCCGTTTTCGTTTCACGCATTACGTCGTTTTACAACAATCATGGATTGTGGTTTTAAAGTATTTATGAATGAAATGTTTTGTCTATCTGTGCTAAATAGTCTTAATTCTTTCTAAATATGTTATATTATGAATGAAATTCTCAAGTCTGCAGTCGGCACGCAGAAATATTTACCTGCGAGACTCTCGCACGAGACACGAGAAGTCTTGCACGAGACTTGAGACGAGACCAATAAAAGTCTCGTCTCGTCTTGTCCGAGTCTCGTCTCGAGTTTTGTCTCGAAAACGAGGCGAGACCATGCGAGACTCTCGAAATCGAGACTCTCGCGGGCACCACTACGTATATTTTTCTAAGATCCAGCATGTTATTCTTTTTAGCTTGGACCATAGAAGAAGATGATGTCCCTTTCTGCTCTAGCTATCAATGTTGGTTCACCTATAGAGACAACGTTAGTACTCTTTCTTTTATGCTCACAAATGACCATCAGTGACTGTCTATTTGCTATAGTATGTTATTTATGAAACGTATATGGGCATTTGGGCATTATTAAATGATCCTCCATATTTGTAAAAGTGTACTATTGCCATTTCTTTATATTCCTGCGTTTTTGACAGTAGTCTGATAAGATAGTCAAGAGTTTTTCTAGCGTTTGCTATATAATTGGCTATATAGACTATGAGCCAATATGTCATTTTAAATTAATATGATTTTTTTAAGGCTACATTAGATTCGAATTTAATATTTCATTCGCTATGCATATAATTGCAACTTAATTGAAATGATGAATGAATTTGTTAATTAATAAAATGTCAAATATAATTAATTAATTCTTTAGTTAAGAAAACCACGTTTATTTTAAACAAACAGATTAAAGTTTGGTAGAAAGGTAGGAAATGAAAATAAAAAAATTCATTGTCTGTGAACTTAAAAAAGCGGTACACAAATAAATAACCTTAATTAGAACAAATAGCTTACCTCTTCAATAACATCGCTAACATCAAATGACATACATCCCAGGAATTCACTAGTTCTGTAACAAAATGAAAAAATTAGCATGTCTATATAATAACTAAAAATTATTTAATAGTTATTTATGTACCAAGTCCGCAAAGTGTTTCTTTGTCAAACTAGTCGGAGATTATGAGCCGAGCTAGAGAAGCGAGCGAGGCGAGTAAACCGGCGAGTTCCATAAAGATACTTTGCTGACCTGGTCCATACAAACTTTATCGCCAACCGTAAACAAATCAGTTAAAGACTATTTCTGTCAAACGTTCATGGCTATGTTGATAAATATTAGCGGAAAATAAAATATTTGATTTTTACAGTGAGATAAAGTGTTTGTTTACTTCTGCAAATCGCTATGGTAATGCATAGCTCTATTGACGGTTGGCGATAAAATATTTAAAAACGAGAGCTTGTTGAGAGAGTACCTATTCTATATTGTTATGACTAATGTAACTATTAATATTTGTAGAAGGTGTAAATATCCTGGAAATTTGTGTCTAATTCCAGTATAAGACATAATTTATGTTTTTATTTGAATATGGAAATTTCACACATTTCACTATATTTAAAAATAAGTAATGTTTGAACTAGAGAAATTTATGTTATGTTTCCCACCCATCCACTGTAAAATTTTGTATACAATTATTCGACCCCTTTTAAATTCTAAATTTTTCTTTATATAAGTTAGTATTTTGTCCAGTATAAAGTACTCATTTTTAGAATGCAATTGCCAAATATATCGTTGAATATATTTTATCAAAATGTAATGGTTAGTTGGAACAATGGGTATTGTAACATTTTAAAAGTCTAATTATAAAATGTTATTTTAAATGTGTGCCATCCGGTATAATTTAATTATCGCCAACACACAATATTCTAAAGAAAGGGACATTTCTTGAAGTGGGAGTACCACTAACCAAACGATCTCAAATTAGATTTGTAAATTTCATTTTATTATTACCTTTCGATTGTATCGGTGGTGCATTTGGCTGTTAAAGTGCAAACGAATGGAATCAGCCATAAGCCATAACGACATAAGCCATAACGACATAAGCCATAACGACATAAGCCATAACGACATAAGCCATAACGACATAAGCCATAACGACATAAGCCATAACGACATAAGCCATAACGACATAAGCCCTAACGTCATAAAACCATAATTTCAACCGCTGTAATCTGAACGTTGGTTCTCGAGGAGCAGAAATCTCTTGTGAAAAGTTAGTTGATTGGAAAAGCGACAGCTACAATTCGAAGCTTCATAAGAAGAAAGATTAACCGACAAAGATTAACCGAGAAACAGAAATCTCAACTACCTATGGCTAGAAGTGGTTAGCTAACAAAGTAAAATGTGGTAATTACTAGTGACTAGAATTATTTATGTACGAATCACAATTTGATACCTGATAAGTGTGAATAATTTGTTTTCGAAAAGGTTTCTTTTTTAAATAAAATCATTAATTTTTATAATTTGGAGTGAGGGTAGCCATATGTGAGTAGTAGGGATTAAGTGTAAAGGTTAAAGAAAAGGTCCTTTATTTCTCACAAGTCAATTTATTGGCGACCGGTTTCGAAGTTGTCACTTCATCATCAGGCACACCTAAATGGAATGTCAAGGAGTCAGTTGTAATAAAAACAATTATAAAAGCATGAACGGACTTTAACATATACAAAATAACAGAAAAAACACAAAAGAAAGTTAAACAATAACCTTGACTCACCTTGACTAATTCCATAAAGGAAGCGCTACAAAAAGTTTAACAGAACGAGTTAAAAAAGTCATGTGTAATAAGTATTTTTTAAAAAAAAGTTTAATCTATTTTACTTTCAATAAATTTTGTCATCGCCACCTATACTCACTTTCAATAAATAACACCTCCGTTAGTACACTATTTATCCGCTAACTTAAAATTTACAGTTTACTGCATTGATTCGTTAAAAATCTAGATAGATGTCTTGACAGTCTGATAATTTTTACTTTTTTACTTTTTACTTTCAGTAATTAACATTATTTCCTTAAAAATTTTTAAACTGTTTGTGCTTGTAAAACTATTTTGTGTTGTTTAGTTAATAATTGTCTTAAATGTGTTTTAATTAATTATTTTATTCAAAAAGACATCTGGTGGTTTAACCTAACCTACATTAAAAACAAAAAAAAAATAATTTTTTTTTAAAAATACTTATTACACATGACTTTTTTAACTCGTTCTGTTAAACTTTTTGTAGCGCTTCCTTTATGGAATTAGTCAAGGTGAGTCAAGGTTATTGTTTAACTTTCTTTTGTGTTTTTTCTGTTATTTTGTATATGTTAAAGTCCGTTCATGCTTTTATAATTGTTTTTATTACAACTGACTCCTTGACATTCCATTTAGGTGTGCCTGATGATGAAGTGACAACTTCGAAACCGGTCGCCAATAAATTGACTTGTGAGAAATAAAGGACCTTTTCTTTAACCTTTACACTTAATTTTTATAAGTATATATGTTGAATATTATTTTTTAAAGGTCACAAAAAATTCTCTTTCTTTCACTAAATTCTGTATAATTTTTATTAACTTCTTTTTATTGATAAAGCTAGAATTTATAATTCTCACTAGCTTTTAAAAATAAAAAAGAGAATTATTGGTGCCCAACATTTCCTAGAAAGATTACTACCCTTAAAATTGTCTATTTGAAAAGCCGAATTCACGACCGAGAAAAGGATGTGCTCATTTATTTTTTTTTTATTTTTAAAGGTAAGTAACGTTTGATATTAAATTTCACTGAGCTAGTCGAGTGTTTTGAAATTAACATTTATCAAAAAGGTAACAAATATATTGCAAATTGTAGTCTAACGGGTCAATGGAATATTACAGTATATTGAAACATTTCGAATATTTCTTAAACAAATTGACTTGGCAACGTCGCATTGTTAATGCACTACCGCACCCGTCTCTAACTTGCTCTAAACTTTCGAACTTCGAAATAGATACTTTCATTTTGTTGGAGTCATTTGGTGCGCAAATATCATTTCCTCTACGAATTATTAAGACCATCCCAGAATACCAAAGGTGAAAAAAAATACTTGGAGATTTGAAAAACCCTGCCATCTTTGTTCTGTACACAAATGCCCTGCCTCTAGATCATCACGACGTTTCAGGCCCGTTCTCAAATCTTCAAATACCTATATACAGCATCGGTGTATATAAGAAATGCATTGATGCATACTAAGCTCATATCTTCGTCTGCGTTAGTTAAATTTTCAATGTACGTTAAGCGTCGCAAACCTGAGTATCAAAATTATGAATTTAATACATCGTAGCTTACGTTTCATTATTTTTTGACAAACCTGCGGATATATTTTTACGGCGTTCACTATCTGGAACGTCGATGAACGGGTGGGAAGAGTCGTACTTACTAAAGCAATAAAACTAGTAGAAGAACAAAAATATCTTGATAAACATCAGTTTTTGCAATTAGTGTCAGCGGAAATGCTAAAACACTTATCCTGTTGATTTCAAGGTAAACATTTCAAGATCACTAAACTTTATAAAAGATTGCCCTCCCGACTGGATGACAGTCGCAAATTTTTTAACATTCATTATACACAAATGATAATTCAGTTTGTTTGGACAATTCCGAATCCCATTTGGGACTAGCCATCATTAATGTGGCGAATATGGACCTTTTAAGAAACAATATCTGTACTTACGGGATGTCTAGATTGGGAACAACCCAGAGAAGTATATGACTATTTATAATCTGCTATCTATTATAAAGAATGCTTTTCCGAACTCAGCCTTTTTATAGAGACATATTTCCAGAAGAGGCGTTCTTGTCTTCTTTCGTTATCTATTATACAACTAAAAATCCTATTATTGAAACTATGACTCCTGCCAACTGAAGGTTCCAATGTTAAAAATATTAATGATGTTCAAACTACTACTGTGCTGATAAAGATATCCTAACCAAAACTCCTGAAGCCTCTGCAGTTAAATACACTTCTATTTATACTAATACAGCCCCCAAAGCTACTATTTAGCTTACTACTATGCATGTTGTTGCTGATGTGTTCTTTACATCGAGAGCTGCAACAGCATTTTATCAGAAATTATTAGACCGTTATTTTCTAAGAAAAGCAACTATCAAACGTGAAGAAAGAAAAAACCAGCGATATTAACTGACACGCCAAAGAACTAAGAATTAAAAAGGAGAGAAATAGAAAAGGAAAAATAAAAAGACGACCCAAAGAAAAGATCTTAGCTACAAGTCTAATAACAATGATGTTGGAAGAAAAAGTAAGAACATTGGTAAACCCTGTATAATAGAATAATATAAAAGAAATAAAATCAGTAAACCCACTATCGACTCAGACTCTCAAAAAACTCTGCGCGAATTTATGGGAATCTGAAATCAAAATTTAAAATTTCGAATCGTAAAAAAGCTACAGACATAAAATTCTGATACTTTACTTTTCAGTTTCATGAAATTTTACGTCTCTGACTATAAAACCATGCCACCTTTAGGAAAAAAACAATATTGGCCTCCTCGCATTAACCAATAACACTAACAATAAAAACTGATCATTGTTAAATGCGTTTATGGCATTCCACAGGCCATCGAACGTCCAAAGCAAAGCAATAACAAGCGATTGTAAAGCAGCAGAAACGACAATGTCAACGAGGGCATTAATAAAATATACGAAATCGATCTATAGGCACATTGAAGGGCCCTTGATGGCTATATTACATGAAGAGTGAACAGTTTTAATCCAATACAGCATTGTCAGCACGGTTTTTGCCATTTACACCCCGTTCGAGTGGTGTTAATCGGAGGGAAACAGTGCCGGACTCATTTGTGTACTATTATTGTTATCAACGACATATACAGGGTATCATTGAAATACTTGTAGATATTAAAGCATATTATTATATAGATTTTCCTAGAATATACAAAAAATACCAATAATTGAAAGTTATTAAATTTCGAAAATGTGCGTTAAATAAGGCAAAATCCACTGAAGTTGATTGACCTATATCTATAA